CTTGCATGATGCATATGTACATACGGAAACAATAACAGTCTGTTGAAATCTGAAAACATGCACTGCTGAGCACTGTGGATGAATCTGTATGAACCGTGTGGCCCAGCGAAACCTTCTGGACCAGGTTATAATTGACAGTGAATTAGTAATCAATCCTTGCGAAGAGAAAATAGATGATTGTGCCTTAGATGAGCATAATGAAGAAGCGTTCCTGAAGTTGAGTTAGTGGCTTTCCATCATCCATGCCAGATGGCCAAAACACACCATTTCAATACTGTCCCAAAAATATATTTCAAAACACTTATTGCATGGCTATACACACCAGCTTACTCGGTCACCACACTCAAACCAAGGCCAGTAGTATAGCAGGCGTCACACTTGTTTTTTGCAACCATGAACGAACGAAGAGAGGCGCTGTAGGTTAGGTTGTAGGTAAGGTTAGGTTTGGTTCGGTAAGGTTGGATGACAAAGCAACTCTGGGTATAGCGCTTCTCCTTGGTTGCAAAAAGAAGTGTGACGCCTGCTTTATGACTACCCATATAAGTAGACTCAAACACAGTCTACTGATACAAACGTCACTGGTCTCAAGTCTGTGCTCAATGCACCAGCTGTACACTACTCACAATACGTAAGGACTCAACGTCAGCCACCAATTTTCTACATCAAATTCACATCAGGTTTTCAAAGTAACAATGTATGTGCCACTTCTGTACTTTGTGCTACAAACACAGAATAAATGATATCAGTCAGCAATGCATTGCTCATTGTCAGCCAGTCTGCAAAGTCAGTCCGCAGGCTTTGCAAGTAAGTGCAAAGTCTGCGGAGATCAGTTACTTTACACACCACCAATATCATGCTGCAATGTGCTCAAAATATGCCCATACACCAACAACAAAGCACAACCATGAAGCACCACTGATAACACTTAACCTCAAAGCACACAACATGATAATTTATTTATTTTGAGTACCTACAGAAACAGAATGTCTCAAGGCCACTCGTGCTCACTCCGAAATCTGCCAGTCGCTCAGCCTTGAACATTGACATTATTTCATCTGAAATCTATTTTCTTCACTTGATCAAAGTTGATCTGCGTCATACATCTTACAACGGATGTCTCGAATTATTGGTAACGTTCAGCACTTAGCATTAACATTACGAATGATAGGTAACTTTGGTTCAACGTTCCATCCAAGCTTCTTCATTGCTGGAGCTATATCACTTTCAAGTTTAATTGCTTGAACTACGACATTCTTGAATTACACTCGGGATGAGCTTAGTTTGAAAGCACACAACATAATTTTTTAATTATTTTGATTTTTGATAACCCACAGGATATCTAGAAGCTACACGCACTGGCTACAAAGCCCACAAGTCTTGAACATTCAAATATGAATAGGAACAGCTTTGTTTCGCACAGATTTCGCACATGGCGGGATGGCGCCATTCCGTCCAACTCATACAGCCTCAGAAATTACAACAACACACTTAACTTACGGAATATCCGTCAAACAAATCTTATTTACGACGACACGAGCCAATGCTAACAACGCTTGCCAGTTGCGCTAGAGATATTGGAGTGGAGACGTCAGAGAAAAAAGTCTTTAGATTTCTCCCATTTCCCCACGTAACGTTGAACGGCCGTTGCGGCCTTATCTGGTATGCGACGGCCTTATCTGGCATAAAAAATATCTCTAGAAGTCTCTAGCTAGTGTTAAGCCTATGGAATTATAGGGAAATGTATCCGAGTACTTGGTACTGCCTCCTCCAGGTACTGGCTGGCAGACGGATCAACTTTGGAGGCCCACCATTTGGAAATTAGGCAATTTTGAGACGAATGACTTCGGATTGGGGCCTCAGCCACCTTCTTCTACACGTTTCACTGAGTAACTCCGAAATTTCGGAAAAAACCCTGATAATACCTTTAAGACATGATAATCCCATTGTCGATGGTTGTTGACAGCCAACCCATATTGTACTGGGCGGATCAGAGATAATGCCTGAACTTTAGCAAGCATTATTGGTCTGTCATATTGTTTAGGAATATAAAATAGTGATGGAGGTCATTGAGGATATATGATCTTTACACTACGGGAATTCGCCGGTGAAATTACTACGGCCCATAGGGGCAGCGCAGGAACTGTTGTTTTACCATCGCACAGTAGGCGATCTAGGCGTTCTAGCGCTTCAGGGACCCAAGATACCAAATTGAAAAATATAGCCGGACAATGGTTTAAAATTTTGGGACATGCTCCCAAAAATTCAAAAAGCTGATATTTCTAGAAAAACGCAAAAAAATCCAAATTTATTTCCGAATTTCGAAAAAAACGGAATACATGTGATAGTCCCCACGCTCTTCTATCTACATACCAAATTTTAGATCGAAGCCTCCTTTTTTGGCCAAGTTATAACGAAATAAAAACTGTTCAAAATTGATGACGTCAAATTTTTTAACTCAATTTTTAGCAATTTTAGACCATAAAGCGCAAAACAAAGACCACCATTGAACTACCCGTGACGAGCTGCATCGAATCGATACCCATTTTATGCAAAATATCAACTTTAAAATTTGGCCTAATTTGACCTGACCTTGACCTGACCTTTTTTTCTTTTCTTTTATAAATTTAGTCCGAACCTTTTTGATGGGAAGGATTCACAAGGACAGAGCCACCGCTAAGCGAAGCTTGTTGCGGTGACCCCGCCCTCTACCCTCCGATCGCGCAATTCCAGTTCTATGGCAGAATTTAGAGTCCAAAGTTTAACGTGCGCACATAGCCGCGCACGGCCGGTCCCCTCACCGACTTCACCTGGCTACGGCCTGCCACCAACCGCAACCATACCTGTCAGGAGGCCCATAAATGTCAAGCGCCCGTTGCGCTTCGAACCCGGACTGTTGTTGTAACCGGGAACGCGTGCTCTCACCACGCGGAGTCCAACGCCCTACCAACTGAGCTACGGGACCGGGACCTTGACCTTAACTTCACCAGAACATAATCTTAACTGACCCCAAAGGCTGCTTGACCCACATAATCGCATTTGGCATATAAAATGGACCACAAAACATGCATCACATGATATTTTCATATTGTGACCCTCAGTGACCTGACCCCTATGAGCTGACCTGGTATCAGTGACCTCAAATAGCAAAATATGTGTTTGAAGAACATTTCCTAATCAATGATTTTCAATGAAATGCATTTTACTCTATTTTACAACGCGTTTCTTGAAATGGCTGTAAACGGTGAAAATTCGACATTTGACCTGACCTGTGACGTTATCGGTTTGACCTAGGTCAATGAAATTGGGTCACAAGGTAGTTCCCTGTTGGGGCTATCCAACACCGTTTGCTGCTTGTCGCTAAGTTGCGTGGTTCTCGAGATCTTAGGGGGGGGGCAAATTGCCCCCCCCCCCTCCCCAGCAGGGAAGTTGCTCGGCAGAGCCCAATGGGGCGCGAGTTAATAGGTTGTTCCAAAAATAGCATCTTTCTTATGAAATATTTGCGAAACTCTCAACCTCAACCCCATTAGTACCGGGCTCCTAACGACGACAAAAAACGTCCCTACCCCCGTCAGCGTGGGTTTATCATAAGGATTTTTAGTAACTCAAAATGAATGACCTTTTCCTCGGATATAGAAAGTTTAAATGTCGAAAATGATGTATTTAGGTGAATTTTCACCCACAGGGCATCATCAGACAAGCAATCGTCACAATTTGAAAATCAAACATCTTTCAGTTGCCGAGCCATAAATGTCACAGTCAGTTAATATTTTTAAAGCTTAGCGTGAAAACCGTGCTATACGTCCCTCCCATGAAATGTAGCAAAAATAATACATTCTATCACATGTAAACATCATTGTACAAAATGGCATGCAGGTGTCCGAATGAAACGAGACGTACACAATATGCACATGAGACAATATGGAAGATATTACAGATGCAATACCTATTAGTAACTACCTACCTACCTCCGCCATTATCTAAGGCGGAGGTAGGTAGGTAGGAGGTAGGTTAAATCTAAACATCTAAGGATGTTTAGATTTAATTTGCAATTTGAAGCTGAAATGATGAAATCAAATTTTTATCTTACATGTGAAACAAGCCGACACAACTAAATAAATCATAGACTTCGAGCGCAACTTAACGACTATGTATGTGCCTATATAGTCTCGGATTTTGGGTTTCAGACCTGCACTTAACCCTAACCCGCGCCCCGCTGGGCTATTCAGCCATACGCGCCCTGCTGGGGGGGAGGGATTCTGCCCCCTGCCTAAATTCCGAACCGATGGTCGTAGAAAGACGGGGAAAACGGAAATCGAAAGCTCTCAACAAGGCAGATCTAAAGAGCCTTTTTTTTTTTTTGCTTAAGGCGGATGCATTTATCTGGAGTGTTTGCATTTTTCCTTAAGGCTTACCCCACTACCCCCTATACAAAATGTATCTGTCGGATTTTCATAATTGTGGCCTAAGGTCAGGTCAATTTTACGACCTCTCCATTATAGGTTAATGGGAGAAAATTGAAATGCGCCTCTTTTGGACGAATGTCGTTCTTAACCTTCTCAAGCATCGGTTCATGGGTAAACATGACACACTGAATCAGAAAATTGCCCCTGTCACCCCTCTGTGTGCCCCTGAGGTCATCTCAGGTCATGACAGGTCACCAGCAGTTTTTTTGCTATGACTTTTGATAGAGACGTCCTAGAGCGGTGAAAACACGTCAGATGGGTTCAGCTCGACGATACAGATCGGCTGATATGCAACATGACCTTTTCCTGTCAGGTCATAACCTTGACCTGAGGTCAAATTCTCAAAATGACCTTTCAAGGTCCACCTATAGTCTACTCGACGAGAGGAACACGATAATCAGAAAAGCGGTGCCGCTGAAAAGGGAAATAGCCCAATGGTCGCCTTTGATGTCTGGGTGGCGGTCTGGCCGCTGCGCGCTGGCTGCACTGGCCCGTGCCGGTGCGCGGTGGCATCGCATCCGCTCGGCTGAGGCTCACCCGTGCGGCGCTCCAAGGTGACCAGATCTCCGTGGTAGTGACGGGAGACGGCCAGCGCCCGCGGCTGCTCGGCCGTCGCCCCGCTCAGCCCAAAGGCGACCAGAAGCAGCAGCCGACACGGCATCGCGGCGTCAGCTCATCGGCGGCGGCTGCGGGCTGCGGAAGAGACCGGAGGCGACCGTCAGAGCCACCGGCGCCAGACCAGCGCACGCCGGTGCACAGTGGGCCGATATGCCATTCTAGCGCGACAGGGCCTGAATCTTCGAACGGAACCCCTGGTTTTTCGCGAGTAATTCCCGTAAAAAGCGGCCGATCGCAACGAAACTTTCAGTACCCTCGCGATTACTACTTTTACAGCTAACCTGAAAATTTCATGACCCTGACCTTAATGATCTTTGACCTGTGACCTTCTTTCGAGACCATGTTTGGCCGGAATCGCGATTCAGCGTATGTCGGCTCGCATTAGCCGCGGGTTTCCAGTCTTTTCTTGGTTTAAAGCGTTAATACATGGGATATTATGTTGCTCCCATGCATTAGGGTGGGTGTCAAGGTCACCAGAAGGTCAGGTAAGGTCATTGACCTATGATGACCTTGGTTTACTTTTTCGAGTTTTACATGTTTCTAGGCTAGTTTTTGGAGCTGAATTCGAATCTAGCAACCATTTGAACATTTACTATGTAGCTTTGGTGCCTTCTTAACATGTTGCAAAGCTGTCAGAGGCGGTTGCCACCTACTGCAAATACCCGGCAAAACCCTTACTGGTTGACCTGACCTGACCTGACCCGACCTGGCCTAAATGTATGAAGACATCATCTATGATCGTAAATAGCATTATATTCGTGATCAGCACCAAACAAAAAAAAAACGAACAGCAGCCACCCTTTACGACGTTCTAACAGGTCCCGATTTTCCCGACTTTTGGGTCATTGACCTGACCTGGAAGGTCAACCAATGACCTAGGACCTTACAATTGGGTATCATCAGCTTCCTCTTGTCACGGGCAACACGCTCGTCTTTTCTGCGAAGCTCTAGCTCGATCAGGGGCGAAACGCCGGGGGGGGTCCAACGGACCCCTTCTATACGTTCGCGGCTGGAAAAACACCACTAGGGGCGGGGGTTGAGTCAAATCTGAGGGTTTATTTCAGAAAGACCGCTAAAAGAGCAATTGAATGCACTTTTCCGCGAAAATGTAGCTCTATTGGTCCCCGAGGTAAGGGCCGGTTTTCGAGAAATGTTGATATATGCAACATTTTACCTTTGATGACCTCTGGTGACGTGACCTTTGACCTGACCTAGAAATGACTAATTACTCCATCTGGAATTTCGGGGCTCTTTCGAATGCCACTTACTACGTGTCGCTATGTGGCCCAAGAACCGAGTTAGAAGGGGAGTGTTCAATCAACACCTCCCGGCCTGGCGCGTTTGACGCCGAGCACCGGTCCGGCGCGGGTTGATGTTTGGCTGCTACATCCAAAGTCGCAAAAAGTCGCAAAAATGACTGTTGGATCTTGTAGTGCAATGAATCATTGACATGTAGCAAGATTTTCGAAGCGGTACTCCGCGGTACTTTTTTTAAAGTCTATTTGTGTGTGACATCAATTATGCGAAATTATATTTTCGTCTTTAAATCTTTGCGGTGCCAATACGTCATAACCAAGTGAGAGTTCGCCATTTTCATGTGGTTATGTGTGTTCTGCAGACCCGGAGCTATCGTTTGATGTATATAAATGTGGAATTCCTCCTCAAATTGTGATTGTTTTCGTGGATCAAAGAAACGTTGTCGAAGAGTGCGGGGGACGAGTTTGGTGCAAACGATTCCGAAGTTCGTGTTTAAGCTGAGTTTTCGCCATGAAATAGCAATTGTGTTGGAAAACAAAGACCACAGCAATGTAGTATGATCATTTTTAAACAAATTGGTATAGGTTTCATTGCACATCCACAAAGTTCGATTTTTTTACCCATATCGTGCTAGGCCTGGCGATCGGCCCAGTGTGCGGTGGTCAGCGCGCTATTGGCGTCACCTGGTCAGGGGGAGGGCCAGGCCAGCGCGCCGTGGGGCCTGGGGGGTGGGTCGCCGGTGCCGTTACGGGCCGCCCGATGTGTGTGGGGATTGTTTCCGCTCAGTTGTGCGGTGCTGAGCGGCCAGCGCCGACTGCCGGCGCGTCTGACGCGGCCGACCCAGTCGGCTGTGACGGCTCACTGAGCCGTGACGGGCCCCGACATCGGCCGGCCGGCCACAGCCGCCACACGGAGCTCGCCCAAACCGGACGCACTGCAGATTACCGAGCACCTCAGCCAACCAGTCAACGGCCCATGTCATAGGTAGGTATACGTTTACAGCCCGTTCGCTGCTAACTGACAAGAGGACGGCCAACACGACAGATAGGTCCATACAGCCGCTCTCACTCACTTCACCAACGCTATCAGAAGTGGCCTTTTGAGTAAGTGATATCTGGCAAAATGACACCATTTAAGTGGCTTTTCTATATGAACTGGGCCCACCATATATAGGCTTCAAGCCCTCCCTAACGAACTTTTTCGGCTGTTTATTGTTGTCTACATGTACGGTTGATTTCAACCAAATTTTGACACAATGAGTTTCAGAGGCCTTCTTATTTTCTACTCATATGGTCTATTGACAAAATGTCAAAATAAGTAGCCACTTATTATATAGCCACTTAATTATAAACTGGTAAAAGTAAAAATTGATCGAAAAACTCGGCAAAAAACTCGGAAAATAATGTATCCAGCAAACAATTGTCACCTAGCCAACTAACGCTTTTAACCCTATTCCTGGCGGGGGGGGGGCCTCAGGAGCCCCCCCCCCCTGAGGTTTTTTGGTTATATCTCCCAAACGCGTTGAGCTAGGAAGCTCAAATTTTCTGACTTTTCCTAAAAGGCTTCTACGCAACATGTCTGAAAATTTTGAGTTGATCTGACCTCAGGTCAGGTCACCAGAGGCGGTTTGGTGACGCTACCTCAGAAAAGTTTGCAATCACGCCAGAGCTAGAGTTTTTGACCGATCAATTTCTTCTCTTCAGGGTTTAGTTAGGCTACCAGTATGTGCAATTTGTATATCTCGGAATTTTGATATCGGTGACCTAAGGTCAGGTCAATTTCGCGACCTCCCCATTATAAGTCAATGGGGGAAAAATCAACTCCCTGTTTTTACCACTAAAACGGGTCGGAATGGCCCCATATACCATACATGACTTCATATACGATCAACCTTCACTACCTTTAGGTCTGTTTTGCTGTTGGGCAGCTGTGAGGTCATGTGACGTCATCAAAGGTCACCAAAGGTTTTTGGCCAATAACTCCGTACAGGAACAAGATACAGACGCGTGGATGGTCTCATTGTGTTCAGCTCGTCAAGACGCATCGAATGATGTACATGATGACCTCGAGGTCACGTGACCTGAGGTCAACCTTTGACCTTGACCTTTCGAGGTCAACATATATATCATTCGATGCGGATTGACGAGAGGATCATGATGATGCCCTTAGTTTGTTCCTATCTTGACTAATTCGAAAGTTATTCGAGAAAAACTCTCTCCATATCTAGTGCCGCCATTTTGACTTTTTCGACCCCTGTGACGTCATCTTTGACCTGACCTGAAAATGACCTTTGTAAAAATTGTAGATCTTGGCCGTGCGTATCCGATGCCGTTTACAGCTTGTCGCTATCTTGCTTCGTTCTCGAGATCTCAGGGGGGGGCCGAATCGGCCCCCCCCCGCCAGTTTCTTGTCCCGGCGGAGCCCGCCAGGAATAGGGTTAACCCGCGCCGGGCCGGTGCTCTGAGATTCCGCGCCGGGCCGCGGGGGGTGTCTGAACACCCCCCCCCCCCTTCTAACTCGGCTCCTGGGCCACGTAGCGACACATGGTAAGCGGCAATCGAAAGAACGTCAAAAATAAGGACGAAAACACTTCAGTCATTTTTAGGGTCAGGTCAAAGGTCAGGTCACCAGAGGTCACCAAAGGTAAAATGTTGACTATTTCAACATTTTGGAAACTGCCAACGGCTATCTCGGGAACCGATAGAGCTACAGCGCCGCAAAAAAGCGCATTCGATAGCCCTTTTACAGAACTTTCTGAGTTATGTTCTCAGATTTGACCTCAGGTCAACGGTTTAGCCTCCAGAGGGCAAAAACTAAAAAAAGCCGTTTTTACGGAAAACGTTTTTTCGGCAATAACTTTTGACTCAAAAAAGCTATGACATTACTTTTGCCAGCATCGTGTTCCTCTCGTCGAGACGCGTCAAATGAACTATAATTTGACCTTGAAAGGTCAACTTGAAAATTTGACCTCAGGTCAAGGTCATGACCTGACCGGAAAAGGCCATGTTGCATATCAGTCGATCCGCAACGTCGAGCCGAACACATCTAAGGCGTTTTCAGCGCTCTAGCACGCCTCTATCAGAAGTTATAATCGAAAAACTGTTAGATTCTGTTCGTGACCTGAGATGACCTCGGGGACAAAACGAGGGGTCACAGTTGCCATTTTCTGGTTCAGTGTGTTTATTTTACCTACATCTCGATGTTTGGGAGTGTCTAGAATAGCGTTCGTGCAAAACAGACGCTTTTCAATTTTCTCCCATTGACTTATAATGGAGAGGCCGCAAAATTGACCTGACCTTAGGTCACCGATATCAAAATTCCGAGATATACATTTTATAGATAGTGTTGCTCTTATCAATCGCTGAAAGTTTCAAGGCAATCGTTCAGTCGGTGTAGCTATGACGAGCATTCTTATTTTTTCTGAGGTGAGGTCACTTGGCGTGACCTGGTGACCTGACCTAAGGTGACCTGGGTCTGAAATTTTCACAACATGTGCGGAAAAGATGCACAAACAGGTCTGCCAAAAACGGCGGCGCTCCGCGCCGCCGTTTTTGAGATATCTGGGAAAAACCGCAAGGGGGGGTGTTCAAACACCCCCCGGCCCGGCGCGGGTTAAGCAAAGGGTTCAGATTTGTACCTGTAAGGAGACAGAAAGTTACGCACCTTCTTGCAGAGCTCAAAGAATGGGAAAAGTTGGTGAGACTGCGTGAATTCGGGTCAGTAGGTCCTCCAAGTGAAGGGTTGGGCGTACCATCTAATGGGACTTTTGGTGGTGAGTCCTTAGTTGACCAAGATTCGAGATATAAACATGCTCGATG